TGGAATAGTGCTATTTCCTCCAGTACAGGGGGAGCATTACCTAATAAGCAGAATTGAGAACCCAAGTGTTATAAACTCTGAGCTAAAAGGATTTCCATTCATCAAGCTGTTTTAGGTACAAAACTCCCCAATGCAGCGATTCTCTGTATCCCCAGATCTGTAACATGCAACCCAGAAAGTGACGGTGCACCTTACCCAAAATGATGAACCCTCTTCCCGACCCCCCAGCTGGATCACARATGCCTTAACAGAGTGTCATTTTCAGAATGTCAAGACCACAGATAAATCAGGAAAACACACTCATCCAAAACTAAAAATTTTAATTGTTAAAAAAAAATGCAAGAAAGAAAGAAAAGAAGAAAAAGAAAATTAAAGAAAAAGAAAATACCTCCATCTGCCAAGGAAAGGCTTGTAAATCAATGGCGATGGCTTGAAAATAGATTTCTCAAACTTATATTCTCATTTTGTCCTGCACGAATCTCTACAGGAAAATCAATATTACAACTTCACACTTAAGACATTTTGCAGCAACGTAAACTGCCGGCTGCTGATGGAAGCCCATTCCTAGCCATTGTAGCAGGGGCGCCACCAGCCATGACACGGGCACCGAGCTCCCCCTAGCTGCCGAGCGGCGCCAGGCGAAGCTCAGTAATTTCAGGCTTGCCATGAACCAAAAGCCAATTCCACTGAAAGTTTATTTTGGAAAGTATTTTATCACAACAAACAACAGAGAATGCAAAGCAATCGGGATAGGAGATGAATAGGGCGAAGGGAAGGCACGGTACAAGCCGTGTGGCCTGTAAGACAGAGCCAGGAGTTCCCTGCTGATAAGGCCCTGGAAACTGGTATGCTCACTCCTCAGTCGGAAACCGGGATCCGCAATCGGACTGTTTACATGCTTCATTTCCCCTGAGACATCATTCTAATTACTGTCAAATGCACCCAAAATTGGCCCCTTGTTCGATCAAGGAAAACCCCCTGGGTCTACACGGTGGTCACCAGTGCATCTCACCCAACCCTCTGATCCCAGCCCCCTTGGATGCTTCTAAGGCCCGCTTCCAAACACAACCATGTTTGCCCTAGAACTGGAGAAATGGTTTCTTTTCGGGTATAAAATATTCTGAAGGCCAAGCAAAACCACCAACATCAAGGCTGAGGCAGATAACAACACTCCCCCCCCCCCAAAAAAAAAAAAAAGAAATATGCCTAAGTACAAAATCTTCAGGTAGGAAAAAAATACCCTTTAAAAATATTAGGAGTTGTTAAAATATGCTCACGACTGTTTTCTCTCAGGTGTGAATTACAAATGAATAAAACCAGCCTGGCATAACACCTTGCATGAGCACGTTCTTATTCTCCCGTGGAATCGAAGCAGCTGACATATCACACTTCTAATGATATGGGGTTCCCTTCTGTGCAGAAGGGAGACAAACTTCACTGTCCCCACCCAACTACCAAAAAAGAAAATAATAATAATAATAATAATAATAATAATAATAATAACAGAAGAAAAGGAGGGCCCATGTCTTATGAAATTTATCAGAGGCCCAGTTTTGAAAGATAGGTGGACCATTGTAGATACACCATCCTCTAGGGAGTTAGGGTAATTGTAAGCACAGCCACCTTCAAAACATACAGTTAGTGCAAAAGCTAATTTAAAAGGCGACCATGGAATTAAAACAGTTAGCCTAACTTCCCTGTCAAATCCTGGGTCTCCGTTTGTTTTGCAAAATCATGAATTCATACCGAAAATTATTGATCTTCCAAGGAAACCTGTTGGTGGGTTGCTGAAAATTCACCTTAATTGAGGTCACATAATTTATCATGGACATCTTGGTTTATTCAGTTTCTTCAGACAGCCTCCAGCCCCTCCAAGGATTTGAGTACATTTCCCTTCACCCTGGCCCTGTCTAGCACGGCCGGCTCTGGGTCCTTCTCGCTGCCTGGTCAGCCGCTCCCCCCTTTCGTCCTCTTTCACTATTGTTACTGTATTGTTTTGTGTTTGTTTTTATTCATGGCTGTGACTGTCCTCCAGTTTTAAAAGCTATATTCATCTAGGTCAAACATTTGAAACAAACCAGAAGCCCAGGTTTTCATTTCCAGCTGTCTCCCTCACTCTCTCCTACCTTGCTCTTCTCCCCACCAGCCCTGTCTGTAAATTGAACTAACTCATTATGGAGCCCCTCTCCTGACCCCTGACCAAGAACACGGATGCTATTTGTGTGCTTTTCTGGTTTCCCAGGACATCAGTTAGCCCAAGTTGCATCATCCCTAAAGAACCTAAGGCTGCTGCCCCACAGGCCCGCAGGCTGCCGCCCAACTGATCAGGCTACGTTTTAGGTGGTTTCTTTCATATTTAAAAATCTCAAATGTGAACACCAGGTGGGAGGGCACCTGCTTTGCTAGCCTGAGCTCCAGAGCACCCGAAGTCTAGGGCTCCTGTACAGTCTGGAGAAAGGCAAATCCCCAGGCCAGGCAGCCTCAACTGCCTCTGATTGTCGCCTTCCCTGCTAGCTCCCACCTCCAGGGTGACACAGGACAGGCAGAAAAGCCAGCTGCTTTTGGATAATAAGTAGCCTTGTCTGAGAACTGGTTGGACCACTCTCCCTGCTTAAACCCCTGCTCAAACCAGGACTCCCTGTGCCCCTGGAAAGCAGGCAGATTGCTTCACGCCCTCATCTCCGTCCCCTCTTTCTCCCCATCACCCTTCTTTGCTTCTCTTTCCCTCGCTGCCCCTGCTCCAGTATCATCAGTGGCTTTCCCCAGATGGAAGGATGTTGCACCAGGCACCCCTCGCCCCCATGCCCAGCTGCCACCAGTCCTCCTGCCCAGGGTTTTCTCCTGATGTCCCAGGAATGCCAGGAGAGTGGAGAGCAAAAGCAGGCAAACCTACCTGCCTCTTTCCCCTCACACACAACTGCAAAGGCTCCTGGTTCCTGTCTCGGCTGCCAGCTCGGCAATGCACCCCCAACATCTCCCCCTTCCCCACCCCCCCTACTCCCCCTCCTCAAAAACAACCCTTGCAATTATACAGAGGCTCCGTGGGGCAAATTGCCTCCTGGAGAAATTAGGCGTCTGCAAGTATAGACGTTTTAACAACCACCCCATCTAAAGGGGGGGAGTGTAGAATAAGCATAAGCAATTGCTGCTGCGGCTTGGTGAAGGAACGAAATGTCAACTGGCGAAAAGGACCTTGATCAAACCACGCTCAAATCTGGTTGCAAAACATTTTGTTTTAAATGCAACCAGCGACTCTTCTTTGATGTTACAATAGCGAAAAATAAAAGAGAAGTCCTCTTCCCTCCCTCCAAAAAGGCATTCCTCTCCCAAGAAGCTCACATTAATATCTATTCCTCCCCCCCAAAATAATAATAATAAATCCACAAATTCTTACTAATGTATCTGCTGTAACAAAGGAGAGATGGCAACAGCAATTGCTCCGAGCAGATGGCTCCTATGCTGGGTTTTCAGGGGAGGGGAGAACCCCTTTATATATTTATTTATTTATTTAAATTTTTTAAAATATAACATAAATATTCGGCTCTCGGCCGCCCGGCAGCCAGTCCTCGGCGGCGGCTGAGCGCGCAGCCCTCTCCAGCTCTGAGCCGGAGCCCGGCCCCAGCCTGGCGAGGTGAGCGGAGGACTGCAGGAATACAACTCGTCTCCGGTCTCGATGACACCCAGAGGATGTTTTATTTCCATTGCAATAAAAAATAAATAAAAAAAAGCCACGGCGACCCAGGCACTGCGACAGAAAGGAACGGCGGGGAAATGTTCGCGCGCCGGGAGGAAGAGTCCCCGGCGGGCTGCGGCGGGCTGCGAGCGACGCGAGCGGACCTTCCCCGTGCAACAGAGCGGGAACCCGGGAGGGCTCCCCTTGAAACGTCGTACCTGGGCCGCTCGCGCTCGCGATTTTTCTTTTCTAAATAAACCCAGCTGGAGCGTTGGAAACTGCTGCGTGTCTGACCCGCTGCCTGACTCTGCACGCCCCGCCACTTGCTTGAAATCCACACGATTTCATTCGGTGGATTTCCGCTGCGACCTGCCTTGTTTATTTAGATAGGGAAGATGAAAGATACTGAGATAGATGGATAAGAGATTGATAGGCCTCTTTTTTTTCTTCTTCCTTTTTAATTTTTTTTTAATTTTACTATTTTACAGGCGCATCCCTCTCTTCCCACTCCTGACAACCTTTTTTTTTTTTTTTCACCGTGGCGGGGATTTTTCACCAACCCCAATTCCCACCCCCACCACCATTTTTTTCCCCTTTTGGAGTGGGGGAAATCGGGCAAGATCATCCCAGGAGACGGAGGTGGGGAAATGGGGAGGGGGGCGCTGGTGCCAGGCAAACAGCCGCGCAGCTGGATTCTTTTGCAAATAGCCAGCGGAGGGGAGGGAAAGGCGACTACGGAATCCTAGGACCGGCGTGGCCGGCGCCCTGCCGGCCTGGGCTCAGCGACAGAGAACCGGGAGCCGGCGGCCACCCCTCGCTCAGCGGTTCCTCCAGGCCGGAGCGCACCCCAGTCTCCTCCGCCCGCGCCGTCAGCGCGGACCCACGCGCTCGCCAACTTTTCCCCACTTCCCGGCTCCCCCCTCCCCCTCCGCTCCCCCAGCCCCCTCCCCCTCCTCTCCAAACCCCGCCACCAGCGCCGCCGCCGCCACACACGCCGCTCGGAGGGGCTAGCGTCCAGCCGGGCTCGGCGAGCACACACACACCTCCTCCAGCCTGCGCGCCCCCTCCCCGGCCCGGAGCCGGCTCCGCAGGCCCCCGACCCCGAGGCGCGTGTGGCTGCGCAGCGCCCCGGCTTCCCCGGCTGCAAAGAAACTTTCCTTTGGCCCCCCGCCCCCCACCAGGCTGCGGGAGGATACCACTGGCTCTGCCAGCCAGAGAGCGGCCCCGGCGCCCGGCCGGGCCTGGCTGCGCCGGGCTCGGTGTCCCCCGCTCCGGGCGCCCAGAGCCCCATTCTTCGGCCCCTCTCGCGCACGCCGCAGACACTTACGGGTGATGAGCTCCCTCTGGGACAAGTGCTGCGGGTTGCCCTGTTTGCGGCGGGACATTGCCCCGGCATCTATTCTGGCATCGCCCGGAGAGCTGCACTGATGGGGGCCGGGGAGGGGGTCTGAGCCGCCGCCGCCGCCGCCGCCGCTGCCGCTGCCGCCGCGCCGCCGCGCCTCCTCCTCTGCCCGGGTTGGTTTTTTTTTTTTTTCCCTTCCTCTCTTGCCCTCTCTTTCTCCTCTTCTTCTTTATTTTGCTCTTTCTTCTATGATGTTTTTTGTTTTGTTTGCAAAAAGAAAATAATAAAACAAGAAAGACCTCTCGATCTAAAATGAGAAAAAGAGGCAAAAAAAAAAAAAAAAGAAGAAGAAGAAGAAGAAGAACTGTAGCTTGCCGCGGACCGGCTGGTCTCTGTAAAATATATATTCTTTCGAAGGAAAAAAGATCTGTTACACTTCTTCAAACTGCTTGGCCTCTTGGACTTCTAAATGTCTTCTTGAACTTAAACCGGATTTTGCACCGGCTCCTGACACTTTCTTTCAGGGTCTGGTAGGTGGAACGCGCACTTCCACCAGAAAGGGAGAAAGAAAAAAATGCAAACAAATAAAAAAAAAAGAAGAAGAAGAAGAAGAAAAAGAAAAAGCAAAGAAAACTTGGGGACTTGTCTCGTACCCCCTTACCCCGCCCCCTCAAAAAACCCAAAGCAATGTAAAACTGCCGCGGTTCGGTTGTTTCTGGGTTTTCTGCGGGCTGCCTGTTTTTTTCTCGGAGATTGACCCTTCCGAGGCTCTGGGGGGACTCCAAGAGCGGCTGCTTCCCAGTTCACCTGGCAGGCTGGCGCCGGCCGGAGGGGCTGCCGAGTCCCCGCGAGCGCTCCCCAGCGCTCCCCCGGCGCCGCGGGCCCAGGGGGAGCGGGGCTGAGGGGCGGCTCGCCCAGTGCGCCTGGGTCGGTGCGGGCGCGGACTGGGAGCTATAGATTGCAACGTGAAGATGGCGGAGTCCGGGTTCTCTGGGAGCTCTCGGTCTCTCTATGGCTGGGGCTGCCTCTGTACAATGGGATAAAATTCAAGTTCAAGTGCGGACGTGACGTTTAATCTGCACTAGAGACAAAAAGACCCAGAGAGTCGGAGCACTGGGGGCGACTAGCGGTGGCTTTTTAACATTGTACCCTGTAAGAGAACAAGAAAGCACACAGAGACACACGCGCGCGCACACACATACACACATACACACTCGCCCGTGCGCACACCCGCAGCCCAAGCCGGCCACACGTGCAAACCGCGTTTTTGTGCGCTGGTCTTATCCCGGAGCACCCGCTGCTCCAGAGCTGGGGGAAGGGGAGTTGCGTGGTGGGCAGCATATTTTTATATAAAAGAAAAATCTTCCTCAACCCACTTCCCCTCCCGGGAGCAGGACCCCCGGAGAAGGGGGGCGGGGTGCTGTGTGAGTTTAGTAAATCGAATCAATGAGAGCCCCCACCCACCCAAAACCTCTTTCGGACTTGGAGGAGGGGGACTGTGGGAAAAGGCTGGGGTCCACCTGAGAACTAGGAGATGTAATCAATCGCTTCTTCACTTCCCTGGAAAAGTAGCTTGGTTGCTTTTACTTTTGTTTTATTGGGGGATCAGGATAAACTTCCAAAAAGTCTCTCCATATAAATCCTGGTGTACAGACTGGCAAAATGAAGTGGTTGAAATAAAGAATACTAAGAGGCCACGGTCAAAAGCACGTGGGGTGTGTGGGTACAGGTATCTGAGACCTTTGAGTCCCATTGCAGAAGGGGTTTTCACCCAAATCTTTGCCCTCCCTAACCTCATTAACTCCTAGAGGTCAAACCCGCCCCACCCCTAATGCCAGGGTCTGCAAGAAGCGTGGGGGTAAGGGGGGGTGCTCCACGTGGGAGAGGTATCTGGACTTGCTGACCCTGGAATGGGTGTGGCCACATATCTGCAGACCGGTGATTCCACGAGGCCCCCCAGCTTCCTCCTTCCCCCCTCTGACAATCACTGCAACCTGGAAGTCACCTCCCCCCTGCTCCTCAGCCCAGGATAGGACTTGAAATTGCCTGTCAGAATGGGAAGGACACAGCTGCCTTGTCAGCCGTTTGATCTCCAGCCGGCGAGGACAAGAGGAGTTGTGGGGGCCTGTCCGTGGCCCTCAGACAAGGCCAGGCCGCAGTCCCCGCGGACACCGGCCCCTCCCGTCGCCCTTCCCCACGTCGCTGCCAACTTATCCTATTTGATGACCTGGCCTGCGGGGCTGGGTGTGCCAAAGGTCTGGACCCCTCTACCTTCCCAGGGTTTCTCTGGTCTCGCCAGTAGGCGGCCTGGGCGGGTTGGGGCCTGGCTCCAGCAGGGCTTCGCGGGTGAGCACCGCGGCACCCACCCCACCCGTGCCTCAACCCAGCTGCGGCAAGGCCGTGATGCCTCCAGGCTCGCCGCCTCCCTGGGGCCTTTTCCTCTGGGGGCACCTGGGCTTTTTGTTCTTCATTAAGGCTTTGGGTGGGGCGACCGCAACAACTTAGCGCACAGCACCGAGTGAGTCTGGACAGAAAAAGCTCTCTTCCCGTCCCACCTCCCCAAAAATAATAACAATAAAATGTGTAGTGGCTTGCAGTTCTGCGGACTGTGGGCTTCAGGGTCGGCGGACACGAGGCTGAGGCCGAGCGGGTGGTGACGCAGGGTAGGGGCGGGTTTGCCTCTCCTCCCCGGGCCCAGCAGGATGCACGCAGCTGCCCAACTACACCACCACCACCAACCCCCCCCCCCCCCGCCACCGCACACACCTCCACGTGGTCCAAAGTCTAGAAGTGCATCCCTCTCTTCCCATCCCGCCCCACCAAGAAAATCTTTTCAATGAAGTGGCCACATTTTTTTAATGCCCACACCCACCTTTAATAAACTTCTTAAGAAATTCATAAAGTGGTCATCTCGATTCACCCAGGTTCTTGGATTTAAGAGATCAATTAGCCCTCTTTTTCTGAGAAGTGGAGATGTGAAGCCCAGAGAGGTTTAGTACTTTGCCCAAGACCCACACCGCAACGGGGACAGGTCTGGACTCCAAATGCCGCGGCGTGCCAGCTGCCCTGCGCCGCCTGCGGCCCCAGGCGCGAAATCCCAACACATGACCCTCACCCTCCGGCGATTACAAGGAAAGGGGACCCGGCCAGTAGCTGCGGGAAGCGGGAAGGCCCTCTCAGGAAAGAGGGCCCCTCACCCGGCTGCGCAAGGGAGCTCAGGGGTCCCCGCTGCAGCTGCCAACTCGCGCGCGGTCGCGCCACCGGGACTGGGGAGGGGGCACACCTGCCCCACCCCCGGCAGGAAGTGGCGGGCAGGGGGCGGCGCGGGCCGGGACTGACCCAAAGAGCACTTCCTCATTGGCCCGGCTCTGCCCCGACGGCGGGAAGAGGGACGCGCGGGCGGGCAGGCGCAGGGCCGGACACGCCGCCGCCCGCCGGCGCGCTCCACCTCGCGGCAGCCGGGGAGAGCCTGCCCTGCCCAGCCCTGCGCTGGCCCCTTCGCCCTCCGCCTTCACTTTCCACTCCTCCTCCTCCTGCTCCTCTTCCTCCTGCTCCTCCTCTCCCGGGAGGCGGCCCGGCGCAGGCAGCCAGCGATCCCCGCCGCCACTCCAGTCTCCTCTTTTTCCCTCTGCCCGTCTGGCACGGGCATCATTAGCGCTGAAAGCTGTTAATGTCTGGTCTCACAGCTCCCCCTTTAGTCTTGCGGCGCTCCTTGTCTCGCGTTCCAAGCCGGATCAATAGCCGCCTCTCGGCCGACCTTGACCTCTCCCTCGACCCCGCCCGGCTCCGGCAGCTGGCCCACGCTAATGTTTCCCGCTCTTGATGCCCAGACAGCAGGCGGCTGGCGGGGAGGGAGGGGGTGGCCGCGCTGGGCCCGCAGCGCAGGCCCCACCCCTTCCTCGAGACCCCAGGCCGGCGAGGGGGCACCCGGTACCCCTCTGAGGTCACTGCAGCCCCCACCCCTAATTTGCAAAGACTTTGTTAGAATAAGCCCCAACTAGACCCCGCAAAAGGGTGCAGGTCACTAACCTTAAAAAATTAAGGAAACAGGGTAAATACTAAGCTGGAGTTGTAGACTGACTCAGTGGAGAGCTCTTCCCTCACCCCAAGCCCAGCTCTGAACTAATAAGAAACTTCGGATTAATTCTAAAGCACCTGCTGTAGGCCTACTGTGCTCTGCCAAAGCTGGGACTTCTCATAGACGGGAATCAGATGGAAATAAATGCCACATTTTCTACACCATCTTCACACACACACACACACACACACACACACACACACACACACACCAGATGTCAGAAAGCTTTTTGAACTCACAAATATTTCCCTGCTTTTTCCCCACCCTAGCTTTCCAGTGCATTCCAGCAGATAATCCTCCGTGGTCTCAGCCCCTTCAAAAGGGATAAGGGAATAGTTTCTTTATAGAGGAATAGTTCAGAAATCGAAAATCATTTCACCAAATTATAGCGCGATTTTATTAACTTGTGTGGCTGTTGCCATGCCCTGGGTGTGCTGCCTGTCACAAGTCATACAGCGAGGGCAGACTGAGAAGACCCATGATCCCCTAATCAAGCTTTTTGTTTAAAATTCTTTGAATGATTCTCAACACTTAGCGGCAGGTTGGGCCCTGTTAGAGTTTCTACAATGTTATCTTTGCCTTGGGAGCTGTTATATTTTATCTTATGTCTTTACAAAAATTTGGAAAGAATCAAGATAAGAAGTGTCAGTAGAAATGGAAACTCCTCCTGTCTCTGCAGAGAGAAAACTGACATTTCATTTGTTTTTGTTGTTTTCTTTTTAACAAAGATCCTCCCTCTTAAATGTAGTCAGAAAACTTTGTAGCAACATTAAGACCCAAGAAGGGCACCTTACCAAATTAATTTAGGCTTCATTTTGGTGCTTAAAAAAAAAAAAAAATCTGTGCAAAGAGAAGACAAACCTTTTCATTTTCACAGGAATGTGACAAATTCAGAAGCAAACCATCTCTCCTGGTTTCTCTTCCTCCGGATCTCTAAACTCTTGACTGTGAAGATGAGGATAAAT